TTTTTTTTTTCCTGTTTGGTTGGGCAGTTATGTTAGCTGGTGGTCTAGGAGGTGTTATCACGGATCGGGTACTGTACATGCTTGATGCCTCGGGTGGTTTGGTTTTAGACTACTGTTTGTAGTAGGTCTCCCAGTTTACTTCTACACGTTGGTAGGCTCGGCAGTTTGTACTCAAACTTTAATTATCTATGAGAATCTCTTATCATTTTGAAAAAAAAAAATAATAATAATAAAAAGAAAATACTACATGTACATAATAATTGTACATAAGGGTGTACATAACACTCACATTGAGTGGGACCTACCAAAAATTAAAAATTAAATGGACCTCACTCCATATGAGTGATATGTACAACTTATGTACATTTATTATGTACAAATAGCATCACTCAAATCCTCTAGTGTCCAATTTGATACCCGGTTGTAAAACAGGTATTTGCGCTTTGCAATTTAATTTGTTATCGTTGGTGAAAAAAAGAAAGAAAGGCGAGTTAGCATTGATTAGTTAAGCCGCAGGCGGACATCTCGAAGTATTTATTTATTTAACAATAAAAATACCAGATCCGCTTCTACGCCGTTCTGCTACCTCGTCTGCTTTGGCTCAACACCGAGGAAAATTTCGTCCGTCTAATATAATCACTTTGTTTCATTTTCTCTTTGATCGAGATTTGGCAGCTATGGAGTCCGCTACTCTTCTCCGTTCTTTCAATAGTTAGTTCACTCTCATTCCATTCATGCGTCTCTGTATGTTGTTGTGATTACTCCAATGCGTATTCAAAGACTTTGTGGTTGTTTCCTTCAGCGATTTTTAGCTTGAATTCGATCATTTTTAGCTCTCTTGGGTTCCAATATTTCTAATCAGAAAGTTTGTTTCTCTGAAAAATGATTTGTGAAAAAAGCCGTTCTACTGGACTGCCAATGCAAATTGTTATCTTTAGACTTCATATGCTTTTATAATGCGAGGTGTTTTGCATTAGGGAATGTTGTTTAGGTTCAGCTATGTGAAAATTGGGAGCTGAGGCTGGAAATGGTTACTGTGGATTGTAATGGTTGTGGATGTTTTAACTAATAAATTTGTTTGTGAATTTGAGTTACTACATTCATGCTTTTTAGCCCTTAAACCATGAGAATGAAGTTCAATGAACCATCAGTGGTTGTTTCTGCTGGCAGCCTTTAACTCCTAAACCATCATACTCGATCAATACATTTTTTTTCTTGTTACCTTGATGCTTATTGATTTACGTGGAAGCAGCGGGTGGAATATCTTAGAGTGTGCTTAAAACTTCCGAGAAAATAAAAGTTTATGAGTGGAAGACTGGAAGTGCATTCACAGAATTATTGCTCGTTAATATTTGAATAGACTATCAGAATAAATTACAGTTGTACAAAGCCAATTGAAGATATTGCATATTCTTTTCTTTAAAATTCTTTTTCTTGAACGTACGTGATGGCCAATGAACTGCATAATTTCAAACGCATTAAAATATGTGAAAGGATTTTCTGAATGTTTGGTATCAGAGAACACATCCTGTAATTTTAGATTATTTCTTGTTTAGTGAACTTGATTTATTTAATTTTTAAGCTTTTTTTTTTTCCAGAAAAGAATCTTCTCTTAATCTACAGCTCCAAAGTCATGGACATGCACATGCGTTGTATCCCTTTCGTTGTTGAGGTGGTGAAAGGATTGCCTGTGTAGTACTAATAGCCCCTAGACCTGACTTATAATCAACGACATTATGTACTTATTCTTTGTTTGTCTGGTTATTATGAAAACTGGAATAACTTATAAGATCATCGCACATTTAAATTTATTCTCACGCGTGAGTTTCTTGAAGATACCTGAGTTTTAAACCTTTCATTCAGTTACAGATGCTGCCAGCACATGTTCCCGTTTGAGAACTGTAATTGAAAAACCGGGCATGCTTATCATGAATACTGCAGCCTTTTCCAGCAATAGGAAATTCCTTGCCTGCAGGGGAAGTGTTACTTCATTCAAAAACAGGAATGGATATTTGTTTGTCTCATGTGTGAAGACTTCTGACACTACTTTGACAGCAAAGTCTAATGGTGGGTTGTTTTATCAAATCGTGAAGAATGGATAGAAAATGGGTGCGACTGGATACAATTTCATTCAACACTTTTTTTCCTATATGATTTCTTTTAAAAAAATGCACTATTCAGATACTTATACCTTTTCTCCCACTAATCACTTATGTGCGTTTTTAAAATGATAACCATCCGATCAGTAATTATGCATAGACATTTCTTTTAATAATTTTCGCTGTTCAATTACATTTATAACTCTAACTACCAATAGATATAGCCATTATTTTTTAGTTTTATTTTTCTCATAAAATCAACTATAACAATTATATCAATTCACTCTCAAAATGTTTTCCCGTGCCTAAACCCAAAAATTTTATATGGAAGTGTATCCAGATCACCCCAATGTCTTCAGTGCTTAGTTCTTTTGTTATCATTATGTTATTGCTGTGTTTAGCAATCGATGTTTATTTCTCATTCAGGTGACCCTAATGGAGCTGTTCTGTCAGAAAGTCAACAAGGAGCCCAAGGGAAGAAAACTAAGTCTAATGCAACATTTCCCAATGGTTTTGAGGTGTGCTGTTAGTTGAAATGCTTTTTTATGGGTCGTGAATAGGATTGATTTTATTGCCCTGCAAGTATTATTACATATGAATTTTTCAGTAACCTATTTTGTATCATCTTTCTTGACATCTTCCTTATTTTGTCTTATAACTTCGTACATTTCCACCAAAATTGTGTGCTCTCTACAAATTTCTTTGACATTCTGACATTTGGTTTTGAATTTGTGACTAAGAATTAAGCACATTATTTTATAATGTTATCCTTGTTATTTTATTTTTTTCATGTACTTGTTTAAGTCAGATTCTCTGAATTTCTCATTTTGCCTCTGCTTACTAACATGTTTGTGTAATTTGTATTAGGCACTGCTCAAGGAGGTTTGTGATGAGACAGAAATTGCTGAGCTCAAGCTCAAGGTAAATTTGTAAATGAAGGTTTATTTTTCTCTGGTGTACCTATTGCTAGAACACTCGAGCGACATGATTTTACTCCTAAAAATGCTGAGTTCAAGTATAGTAAGTGTAATGAATTTCTGTTTAGTGGCTGTTATTTAGGAACAGAAAGAGTGACTCTTTTTTCTTCTTTTCTTTTTCTTTTTTGAACCCAGGGATAATATGAGGGAGGTGAATGATCACTATAATACCTAAGAAATTACTTCCAATTATTGTATATTCAATATCTGTTTTAAACTATGTACTCATATTTTAACGAACATAATATGATATAAAAGTCGAATAACCAGCAAACCTGTACAAACCAGTACACTGAACCTTTTGTCATGAAGCATACCACATTCAACAATATACAAATAGGATCAAATATATTTTACATTCGCAAAATGCATTCTTTCCCAGAACACTTGATGCCATTAAAAATGGCTTTTCATTACCCTGAAATGCACAAACACAATTTGCCTTGAAATGTCTCATGTTTGCCAGCAAAGTTTTGTTCATGGCATTTCCAAAATTCCACATTTTGGGCATTCACATTTGCTCTAATTCCTTTTCATTACAGGTTGGAACCTTTGAAATCCACATGAAGCGGAAAATTGATGGCCCAGCTATCCCTGCACCTGTTGCTCCCCAAGCATCTGCATCACCAGTTCCGAGCAAAACTGATCCAACTCCAGTTGCTCTACTACCCGTGCCTAATCCTTCTTCAGAAAAGGTCAGCCCATTCACAAATGTCTCAGTGGAGAAGGCAGCCAAGCTGGCGGCCCTAGAGGTTTCTGGATCCAGCAGCTATGTTATTGTTCCGTCACCCACAGTATGAACGTCATGACCCTTTGAGATTAATCGTTAATTGCCTACTCATGCTGAGTTGGTAGTGGTACTTAATTGACCCTCCTTTAACTTCCTGTTTTTGACTAGGTTGGTTCTTTCCGAAGAGCCACAAAGCGTAAAGGAAGGGGGTCCCGACCCGCTTGTAAAGAGGTACTACCTGAGAACAATTTTCTCGATCTTGTTATATGACATACCTCTTAATTACATTATGTTCAAGTGCATGACTTGTTTTTATGGGTGCATATCATTTTTGTTATTAATGTCTATAGTGAAGTGTGGAAGGGTTTTTCATTAAAGAAAATGAACATTGTTCGTTGCTTTACTCCTTGCTGAAGCTAGAGATATTCTCAAAAGACTATACTTAATGGACCACGTTATAGCCTGATTTAATATAGCTGAAGATGAAAGGTAGAATCCATAAGAATGAATGAGTGACCCCTATTGCTTTGTCTGATAGGGTTGTGTTTTTGTTATGCCTTTTGGTGTGTTTAGCTTTATCCATTGTTTAGTTCTCAGTTTTTGTTCCTTGTCTTGTTGCTTTTTGACCTAAAGTTTTGTTAATTATGCTTCCCTGTATCATGTATGTGTAATCTGTGTGTGTGTGTGTGTGTGATATGAGAAGATTATTTGCTACATTAGAAAGTTTTGCTGCTATAGACATACAGTGATTGGCTTAGCGATAAGAAGTTTTATTGGTGCATGATTTGACCTGTTTCCTTGCACTCAGGGTGATATGATCGAGGAAGGCCAGGTGATAGGCTTTCTGGATCAGTTTGGCAGAGAACTACCTGTCACGGTATGACTCACTATTTGTCTTAGTTGATGACTTCCTTTATGATAATACATAATAATGACCTTTCCTTTTTCTATCTTCTGAGCAGTCAAGTGTGGCGGGAGAAGTCTTGAAGTTCCTTTACATTGATGGTGGTAAGTCTGTTCAGACTTTCCCTTTCAGTTATCATTTAAACTTTTTTTTCTGTTTCTTTTCTTGCATGTTGATTATTCACTTTCCCTGTTGAGTTGACGGGTGACTAAAATTTTAGCCATTGCATCAAGCTGGAAAGCCAAAAGAATTACTAGGGAATGAGAAAAGGAAAGCCGAGTTTATATGTGTGATCAGTTTGAAATAATATCTGGTCTATCAAGTAATAGTAGAATATATGTTCTGCAACCTGGCCATAGTTCATGTTGAATTATCAGAATGCCATTGCTTACTCTAATGTGTGATTTTCTTTCTCTTGCCTTGTGTTATTCAATCTCTAGTTCCTCTAGATGCTTTAGGTGATTGAATCGACCACCCTTCAAATCCATTGCGACTCTTGTTAACGATACACAAATATATCTGTATGCTGTTCAAAGACAAGTTTTCTTATTCTTAGTTTATGTCCAATTTCAGAAGCTGTGGGTTATGGAGATCCCCTCATTGCCGTCTTGCCTTCTTTTCATGGTATCAAGTGAAATTAGTTGCTTTCCGGCGAGTTTTTAAGGGTGTCGCAATCAATTTCGTAGAGAACTATTTTCATTTTATTCCTATGACCCCAAAATCAAGAGTTGTTTTTAGCCACTGATGCGAGGCTATATTTTGTTGTATTAGAAATGGGTTGGAATGAGAAAGAACTCATCTGAATTAAGACGATCACATTTGTTGTTATCTTTTCGTCTGTTTATTCGGTTATATTTGGAATCATTTTGTTCGTCATTTTATTTTATTTTTCTCTCATTTAGTTCAGAATTCTTACTGAAGAACTAGCAGTGCCATTTAAGGGACAATTTCTTACCTCTATGTGATCACCATATTGACATGATTGCTGCCGGATCACGTTAATATTAACAAGCATTATAAGAAATTACCAAAACACACACACACAAACACACACACACAAAGAGTGCAAAGCCTACAGGAAGTGAAGTCAACATGATTATTTACTCCTGAAGCTATGATGTTAATCATGCTTACAAAATAACTTTCTAACCTTCCTTCTTTGTTTGAGAGAAAAAAATTGCTTATTTTTTAAAAATCAACCGTAAAATTCCCAGTGAACATGGAAACATTATTATTATCATTATTAATTTTTTATTCTGTAACAACTTTACAAGATTTTAAATTTTTTGAATATAAAATATTAAATTATTTTACAGCTAATATTCTTATTCTGTACTATATTTATACAATAACAAAAAAGAAAAAAAAAAACACTTATTTATATGAAAGTTAAACGATTTGTACTTATACTACAAATTTACATATAGACAAATTTTTAAAATATAATACACTATATCTAATTTAAAGTTTTAAATATCATATACATACATATAATATATAAATTTTGTTTATGCACATGATCGAATTTCATTATGCCAGGTGAAAGACTTGTTGAAGAAGTTTTCCTTTCTCCATCTCCTTCATTTCGAAAATCTTCGTCTTCTTCGACTAGTTTGGCTAACTATCCTACACACCCACATCCTCGAACGGAAGGCACCCTCAGCCGCGAATACCGGATTCTTTCACTCCTAAATCATTCCTTTGTTAGTGTTTAACCGGGAGTGAAGTGACCCTCGAGTGAGGGGCCTAATAAGTCTTGCTCCTTTTCCTGGGAACCGAGAAAGCTTATCAAGGCTAGGGCTCTAAGGAAGCTAGTGCGTAACCTATTCTAAAACCTCTTATTCGTACAATGTGCAGAATCGAAAAATATGAAAGAAAGATTATTTAGAATGGAAGGCTATGCGCAAAAGTAAGGACTGCTTCGGCCTATTTCTTAGCTTTCTATTGAGGTATGGTGCATGCTGATATGATATTTGTAGCTCGATTTGTGTTTAAATGATTGTAGATATGTATGAGATAGGGTTTGTATCTTTGGCAGGAACCTTATTCTAAATGTTAACTGCTTTTACTCTATCTTAATGATCTTATCTGTTTTTGTGTTCTAAATGAAAGTTGTAGGTGCATGCCTTAGGTTTAATTTGAAACTTGAATCATGTTCATATGATTTATGTGTTAATAGTTACTTTGATTTTAAAAAACACTGCAGGGGTTAAGTTTTGAAAAAACTTATGTGGTGTTTCCGAAAATGAGTTTTCCTTAATTAAATGCATGCTTAAATGCTTATGTGAGCTTGGTTGGACTAAGTGATTGTTATAATTAGCTGGTCATGTGTCGAATAGTTATTGATAGGACCTTTTTTATTAATGTAGGTGCTTCACGAGCCGAGCTCGCCGCCTACACATATTTTGTGATTATCTCTTGCTTTCAACCAGGTGGGTTCGTTATTGTACAATTATCTATGCCATAGTGTTTAAGTGTTTGGTTGGTATGAGCAATGTATGCATGTGAACCATGTGGCCTATCGATGTGAGTTGTTATGGCCGTCGGTATGGTTGTCCCCGTCGAGTTACGGTACGGTTGTCCTTGCGAGGCAAGTCTCCTTAAGTCCTAATGAAAGACCGTGTCCATTACAGTGGCACGCACTCCCGTCGTTAAGGTTTATGCATCCCCTTTTCGCGCATAATGATAGATGTGCACATGAGTGAGATTATTGTTATTATTGATAGGAGATGAGACATGATGATGATTGATTTATGTTCATGCTGCGACCATACCATCTTAACATTTTATTGTTTATGTGCATAGTGGTGAGCACTAAGGTTTCCATTTGTGCTCACTCCCACCTGCTCTTCGCGGATGCAGGTTAAGCAGGTGACGGATGACGAGGCAAGACGAGTGGGTGGTCTTTATTTATTGCATTAGCTTCCGTTTAATTTTAACTTATGATTTATGAGACTTGTTGAACTATTTTCGGATGTATGTTTTAGATTGTTGAATTTGGATATTCATGATGTGTGTTTTATTGAATATTAGTCGTTTTTATTATTCATGTTGTTTGAATATCACGTGATATGTTGTGAATCGGTTAATGAAAACCAAGTGGAAAATTGAGTTTATGAATCCCCGGGTCCAGATAAGACTTGGACTATGTGAATGTTTTGAATAATGCCTATGTTTTCGAAAATAAGTTCGAAAAATGTTTTACTGATTTTGAATAGTCTGGAATTTCTTTAAAATCAAAGTGGGCCGTTACATCCAGTTTGGTCATGATTTGGGCTCAAACCGGACCAATCTGGACCAATGTCATTATGTCATCCAAGGGAAAGAGTATAATATGGGATATTATTTAATTGATAATATATATCCAAAATAGTCAACTCTTGTCCAAACTATTTGTGATCCACGTAGCCCAAAGAAAAAGTACTTTGCAATGAAACAAGGAGTCTGCAGAAAGGATGTAGAGCGTGCATTTGGTGTACTGCTGAGTCGATTTGCAATTGTGGCTAATCCTGCTCAATTTTAGAGCAAAAATTACTTATAAGATATCATGACTGCATGTATTATTATGCACAATATGATAATTGAGGATGAACGAGATCTTGATGCACCGATCAAAGCTGCGATGGAGGTCCCCGATCCCAGATGTTGAAACGGTGGGTAATGAAGCTTCTCAGTTCCAAACATTTGTTGCTCGATACAGACAAATTCGAGAGAAAGAAGCTCATATCGCCCTATGTAATGCACTGATTGATCACTTATAGGAGAAATTTTCTAATTCAAAAAATTAAATGTATTGTTGTTGTATTACTTGTTTAATTTTTTTTTTTCATACTATTATGTAATTTGTACTCCTATTGTTTGAATTTATGAAGTAGTCTCGTGTTGTTTCAAATAAAAATGTTTTTTTATTTGTGTAAAAAAAATTATTTAAGATTAATTAAAAATATATATTCAAATTTAGTTGAAAAAAAAATGAATAAAATTATTTTTTTATTATTTGGGTAAAAAAATTATTAAAGATTAATTAAAAATATATATTAAAATTAAGGTAAAAAAATGGATAAAAAATTAATTTATTAATGTAGAGTAAAATATAGTGCGAAGGACTGGAGATGAAACTCGGTGTTTTGCTAACTCTACTCTAGAGTAAAGTAAACTCTATTCTACAGTAGAGTAAAGGGCTGGAGATGGCCTTATTGCCAAACCCAGAACACAATTTAACTATTAATGCTTGAAAGTTCAACCTCATCTATAAAATATTATCCGAGATTCTTGTACCTCAACAAGATTGTCCGACAGAGACAATGTTATAGCATAACTTAAAAGAAAAATGAAGACAAAAGGCCACACCTAAAATTCGCAAACCTCATAAGGTATTCTACAAAGATTTACTGCCAAAACCTCAATCCAAACATGAGATACCTAATGTTGGATCAAGAGTTAGCATAGGGTGAGCGTTGAAGAATGTGTATTACTACAACAAAAAAAAGTTGGCTGAAATTCTATAATAGACTATAGGCTTGGCATCTACATTAACGGTACTACGGTAGACTTCTTGAGAGGGTCCTCTTGACTCAGAGATTGACAAACGATCATATAAGATATAGCATTTCTTGAATCAATCAATCAACAAGCCGTTAAAACCCCACTAAGTGAGGTCGACTATATGGATCACATTTCGCTAGCGTGCTCGATAGAACACATATCCTCATTTAAATTTAAATATTTTAAATTATTTTTTATTGTTTATTTCCAAGTTTTCTTATGACTTCCCCTCCCCCTTTTAATGTGTGTTATTATTAATTTTAATGTTTCTACCCTTCTCAGTTGGGCCTCGAAGTTTTTCCTACGCACATGCCCAAACCATCTTAATTGTCATTCTCACATTTTCTCCTCTATAGACGTTAACCCAATTTTATTTCTAATACTTTTATTTCTAATGTTGTCTGACCTAGTATCTACAAATCCATCTCAACATTTCTCATCCCTGTCACTATGTATCGGTCCTAGGAGGTCTGGCTGAAGCATTCTTGGTTGCTTACCACTTTCACTCTCAATCAACCTCGCAACTCCATCCATCATTGTCCCGAAGATGGCCCTATTTGATTAGGAACCCCTCCGTTGCCTTGATGCCTCCATCTCCCCTTTTTGGCCGTTGCTCTTGCCGGCGCACGCTCTTCGATTCACGTGGATAAATCAGCCGCATATACAATCCTCTTTTTCCTAGGCTTAAAAATCCTATTCAATCTAGCTCCTGACGGTCCCATTACTGTAAGGGGTTTGTTTTCGAGGGGATCTGTCTATCGATTCCATTCGTGTTCTCTTTGGCGGTTCCGTGACATTCTTTTGATCAATTTCATATTTAATAGTCCAACACTAAGATCCGTAAAGCAACGTCAGTCGAACAACTGTTCGATCGAACTCGACTTTCAAATCCACTAGTACTTTACGATCACAAAGTATTAATGACACGCTCCTCCACTTGTTCCATCCCGATTAAATTATATGTGTTAACATCCTTTCCATGTTGTCATTATCTTCCAAGAAATATTTGAAACTTCTAGATTTGTTCATTTCGTGTTCCAAAATTTTCACATTTTACCCCATTATTACTTTTTTATTACTAAAATTACACTCCATATATTATGTTTTGGCCCTACTTATTTTGAAACTTTTTGTTTCAAGCGACTCTCTCCAAGCTTCTAACTTAGAATTTACCCCTCTCTCATCCCATCCCATCTACAAACACTATGTCAACCACAAACAACATGCAATCAATGTCATCCAATTTTGCAAATGTTTCAGTGATATCTAATTCCTTAAAAATTTTGGTAAAATCTCAAAATTTAAAATAACTCATACAACTACCAAAGGTCATAATTCATTACAAATACTATATTCAAAGTCCACATAAGTTTAAGAAACACTTTCAAACTCAAGCCCTACCACGACCACTATGATTCTAAGATACAACTGTTAAAATTTCACTAACAACACTCAAAGGTGAGCTAGTTCTGAAATCTGAGGTCATATGTCTAAAATCTTCCAAGAAATTTATACTAAAAACTTATCGACAATGGCTACATGTAAACATGTATCAAGAAACAAGTTCCAGCATTAACTTGTACACCATATGACAATGTAAAAAACAAGCATTATCCTTCCACCCACATTACTGCAGAGAAATAAGACGAACTCCCTGAATCCAATGGATACGTACGAATCTTTAGACTTGAACAGAGAGTAACAGGTTACAAAAATTACAGTCTGGATTCCTGGATGGACATCAAGAGACAATCAAAATGCCCAAAGTACATAAGAACCTAATAATATATAATAATACCATCAACCCAAAAATAGTAAAGTTCAATCGAACGAAGCTCATATTAGGGAACATAAAACCTAATAAGCACTATTGTACCGTCTAGGTTGAAGCAAAATCTATCAGATCAGATGGGATCGGATCCAGATCAAACGCGCGTGGCAACAACAGGCGCGGCAGCGCCGCCTAGGAAGGAAAGAAATCCAGAAGTAGCCTGCTCCTGATCGTCCAAGAACAGATCCTCGGGCATCCTGAAAGCCCCGTGCGCACAGATCACAGCAAGACCGACGAGCAAGGCGGAGATGAGCAGCGATCCCACGGTGGTGAGGAAAACCACAACGACGGTGGACACCACCAGGATCCCCAAGATCTCGCGGTCCGAGAAGGTGCGGCCGGCGAGGACGACAGGCTGATCCGAGGGGCGGAACAGGTAGAGGAAGATCCACGCGGCGAGGAGGGAGAGCAGGACGAGGAGAGAGAAAGGGTGGGCGAGGAGAGAGAGGGCGAGGGAGAGGGCGAGGAGGGAGAGGTAGTTGATGCGGAAGTAGGAGAAGTTCTTGCGGATACGGGAGGCGGCCTCGGAGAGGTTTTCGGGGCGGGAGAAAGCGGAGCGGTCGATGAGCTCTGACCAAGGGCGACGCTGGGAGAAGCCGTCGCAAATGGTGGCTTTGAGACGGGATACGAAGGCGCCAAAGGCCGGGGTAGCGATGGGAGGCTGGGATTCGGATTGCTGATTGGAGATCGGGAGCGTCGCCATCGTCGAACAAATTTTATTAATGGCTAGGCCTCCTCTCTTATTTGTATTAGTCAATAAATAGATAGATAGATGGATGGTTTTTTTTTTTTT